GTTAAAAAAAAAAAAAAGTAAAAAGTTCTCCAAAACATCACAATTTCATGGCTTTCTTTTTCTTACTTCACTGATACCTATGTATTTCAGTGTCTACATTGCCTTTTCCTTCTGTGCTCAGCACCTTAATATGTGGATCTCAGACTTTGGTGCTATGCCCTGTACATATCAGGATCCAAACCTCTCCCCTAGGATATCTCATCTAATATTAAGGTCTTAATACCGTCTATATGTTCATGACTTTCACATCTATATTTTCAGCCCAACCTCTCCAGAATCATGTGATCACCTATTTGACATCACCACCTCCTTCTCTAACAGGGAGCCCAAATTTAGCAGAGCCCAAAGAAAACTCTTGTTGGTTTTATCACCTAATTTATTTCTGCTCTTACATTTCCATCCACCCAGTTGCTCAAGACTAAAACCTAGAAACTAATGTTGGCACTTCAATTAGCTTCAGTTTCTGTATCTAACCCCATGCTGAGTTTTGTCAACTTTATCTCCAAAATATACCTGGTATTGATCCATTTTTCTTTTAACCTCTACTGTGATCTTCATATTCCATGTCACTTTCATCACAGCATGAGATGCAAAAATTTGCCATAAGTAATCATTAAAAAAACAAAAGCATGATTTCTTAGCAACCTGAAGAAGATCACATTTTGTTCCTATTCAACATCTTCCAGGGGCTTCAATTGCCTTTATATTCAAATGAATAAAGTTGAAATCCTTCATCATAACCTACATGCACCCTCTTCTCTCTCCACCTTCACCTCAATTTTTCTGCCTCTCATCCACTACATTCCAGCTAATAGGTACTGACTGTTTCACATCATTGTTTTATCTCCTTTTTGCCAAGGCCTCTTCAGATCACCCAATCTAATAGAATTCATTCACAGGTAATTTTTAACATCATTATTCTGTATTACTTTTCTAGGAACTTCTGATCATGTCTGAAATGATTTTGTTTGAACAAGTACACAAGAGTGGGGCCTCATATGTTTAGTTTCACCAGGACCTAGAACTGTCTCACACAACGCAGGAACTCAATAAATATCTGTATAAGACATGAGCCCTATTTCTTCTCCTTAATTCTCCAACAATACATCTTTCATCTTTATCTTTAACCTGTAAAATAAAGGCCCAAGAATTGGTCAAGAATAAATAGACTCCTTGTCTGTAGGCAGAAACTAAGGCTAGTCCATGATTACATTAACATTTTATTCCAATAATTAATAAAAATCCACATCTATTGAGTTTTCTTATGTCTTTTATTTCTCTTTATATCATCTAATTTACCTTATGTATTATAATGGGAAGTGGGTTTTTTTTTTCCAATTATCCCTCCTTGAGAGAGCATCCCTTCCTTATTCTGCAGTAATTCTGCTGGAGCCCTGTGATCGGGTGGAATTGATCTTGCTTTCCTGGACCAAAGGCTGGACCCTTTGGACCCATGACCTGGACAAAGTCCTCCTCCCTGGAAACCACAATTAGCTCAGGCTGGTCACATGATCAAAGCATGACTAATTGTTTCTAGGAATTTAAGAGTAGGAAAGTTGCTATATTTTTCTCTGACAGTTCTGGAATTTTATGGGATGTTATAGCTCATAGTACCAAAAAAAAAAAAAAAAAAAAAAAAAAAAGAATGAGCTAGCCACTTTGTAACCATGTTCATAAGACCTGGCTACTGACTGGGAACGAAGCTAACCTAGGGAAAATAGTCATGAATGGTGTAAAGAAACAGAGGAAGAGCTATTGTTTGAGCACATGGATGCCATTTGAGTCAGTTAGCACTTACCATCTTTAGCACTTTTCAATAACTCATGATCGTAAATTCCTTTTTTGCACCTAACACTAATTTGAATTGCATTTCTAAAACCCTCATCCTATGAAGTCTTAACTAATTCAACTTTTCTTCTCATTTTACAGTTGGAGAAAATGAAGCTCAGATAGGTTAAGAAACTTGTCAGAAAGAAAATTTTTTTTTAATGTTTGTTTATTTTGAGAGAGAGAGAGAGAGAAAATCCCAAGCAGGCTCCTTGCTATCAGCACAGAGCCTAACATGGGGCTTGAACTCATGAACTGTGAGATCATGACCTGAGCCAAAATCAAGAGTTGGATGCTTAACCAGGTGCCCCCAGAATGGAAATATTTGAGCAAGCATTTCTGAATTCAAGTCCTATGCTCTTATTCATTACTATATTTCCATATATCAGCAGACTCAGGAAATCTTCATGGATTATAGCTTGAAATTTCATATTCATAAACTACCCCTTTCAAAATTTGATTCTAATGGTAAATAGAATAGGTCTAATATGGACCAGAATTTCAATCATCCTGATAATATTTAAGAGTTTTTCTTCCACTTTAAATAAAATGTTTTATTAGATTTTTTTCCCTTTGGTGTATATCCAAGTTTCTGCACAGGAAAAAACATATTACATTAGCATAATGTTTTGAATTTTATATTTGTTTTTTATTCTGATTTTCTCAATAACCATTATCTAGTCATGGAATGAAGCTCAATTAAATGATGGCATCTGAAGCAATTAAAAATTATGTGGAATTATGTAGATATTGAGATAAGGGTTCATAAAATTTATAAATCCATACCCACAATTGAAGTAAATGTGCAAAATTGATTACTAAGAGAGCATAGGATCTTTTAAGACAGTAAAATATATAAAAACATATTCTCTCCTATATTGGTTGCTTTCCAAATTACACAGAATGAATATGAAAGACTAAAGGAATACAGGTAGAAAAAATAAAAAATACTTAAATTCTCATTTCATACTATTGGTAAGCATTCCAGAACGCACAAATAAGTAAAATCAACATTAGCTAATGCAGGAATAGGAACAAACAAACTAGAACATTCTTTCACTTAGAGGGGAGGTTGACAGAACTCAAAGTTTATGCATACTGAATTGCACCACACTAATGGTCTCATCATACATCATTTTGCTTTTTGTAGATGGTTCTACTGCCCACTCAGTTCATCAAATCAGAAAAGTTTGCCATCTTAAGATTCCTCTCTGATTTGGGTTCAACTTCCCTGTTAGAACCATTTCAGCTTGGCCTTCCTGTCTTACTGATCTTTTTTTTCAGCTTTAATGAGACATAATTAACAAACAAAATTGTAAGACGTTTTAAACGACAGTGTGATGATCTGATAGACACTGTCAAAGGATAACCCCCCCATGAGTTATTTAATGCATTCGTCACCCCACATATTTATCCCATGCCCTTTTGGTTTTGGTGAGAATATTGAAGCTCTGGTGTCTTAGTGAATTTCAACTGTACAATGCAGTGGTACCAACTGTAGTAATCAGGTGATATATTAGATCCTCAGATCTAACATATTCATCCTAGAGCTGGAAGTTTGTGCCATTTTACCAACTTCTCCTGATTTCCCCCACCCCCTACTGATTCTTAAAGACTGGCCACTGCCCTTGTTCAGCATCTCTTGCTTGCTTGATAGTAGAGTCTCATCTTCTTATTAGGCTTTAGTAGGCTCTATTACAATCCAACCTCCATAAAGCTGCTAAGTGGTTATTTAAAAGAACAGAATTGACCATGTCACTTTAATGTTTAATACCCTTGAAATCTCTGTTATTTGAAGGATAAAGTTTAAAAATAGGCTCATCCAAGAAGCATTTATTTGTTAGTCACCTTACCTAGAGATGGGATTCAATGTGGAATAAAATATGGGTCTTCCCCTAAAGGAATGTGAACATAGGTTGGGGGGGGTGCTGTGGAGTCGCCCCACACCAGATCATTTCAATATAACATTGAAGGCATTACTACAGAGGGAACCCAGAGTGTAATGGAGCTCAGTGCAGGCAGATTTAGCATAGCCTAGATTTTCAGGAGGGTTTCCTGGAAGGAGGATGCCAGAGTTAAGGTCTAATAAATCATCCAGGCTCAGAAGGAAGGGGAGCATAAAAGGTTATCCAGGTAGATCTAGGATCAGAAGAAACCATATCAAAGGATATAGCATAGCATTTCTCAATAACTGCAAGCAATTTAGTATTATGAAAACACGAAATGTGAGGTAGGAGGTAGAGGTTCAGACGCGTGGAGAAGAAAGTAGAAATGAGGTATTATGAAGATCGCATGCACGACACAATCATTCAACAACTACTGATTGTTTACTGAAAGCTGCAATCAGGCAGTTGCTGAAGACGCAGAGTAAACCTTAAGTAACTAGAGTTGATAACATTGTATTGTAGACTTGAAATGTGCTAAAAGAATAGAACTTAAATGTTCTTCTCTCAAAAAATAATTAAAAAGAGAGATAAATATACGAAGTGATAGATAATTCCTAGAAGGAGGAAGTCCTTTCACAAAGTACACGTACATCAAATCATCTCAGTGCGCACTTTAAATATCTTGTAATTGTGTCCGATATACCTTAATAAAGCTGGAAAAAATGTGAAAAAAAGGGAATAAAACCTCCTTTCAAAGAACATGCAATCTAGCAGATGGCACCAGGAAATGCTGTTGAAGTTGTTATATTTAGTAGAACTTCTACACACAGAGCAAAGAATTCCAACTCTAGATCATTGCCCTGGTGTTTCATTGTTGGGGAGTCTCCTGAGATGGCTGGGAGTCCTTGTCTGGAGTTTCCTGTTACTGCCTTTAGCTGTTGCAGAAAAGACATGTAACATTTGGGCTGTGCCTGGGTCTCCCACAGGGGGGCTGGCCCTTTCATCAGTCTTTGCACAGTGTCATACAGTTAGTGACAGAGAATGGACCTGAATTCTCCAACACTCCATGGTTCTTCAAGGGATGAGGTAAGGTTCCTGCCCCTCTATCCACTACTTTCTCTGTTCTCCGACAAGTAGATGGATTACTAACCTCATTGGCTCAGAGTTAGGGAATGCTTGACTGGCCACATTTACTTACTAAATAAGCGTGTCTCATTGGTTTCCTACTCCATAAAGCTGGCTAGACAAGAAAGCCAACAGATATCTACTTTTGTCCTCTTTTTTTCCTCACATGTGAGCAGTGCTTGCCTTAGTTTCTTGTGGCCATCTGGTGGTACGATTCATTCCTGGGGGAAGAACAGATTTTACTTGGGTCTAATTTAAGCCACCCACCTGCTCAGTTCAGTTTACCGAACATCTAGGTTTTGTGCTTTAGTGTTAATAATTGAATGGCATTCTAATTTTGCTTCCATTTGTACCACTTAGGTATCCCATCAGAGCAGACATGAAGCCCTGGCAACACTCAGGTGTCCCTGGGAACTCTGGATAATATCACACCTTAATGCCTTTGGAACCACACCCTATAGCTGTAAATGCTCCCCTGTTAGTGGGGAGTAATACAGAGATACTTGGTTTTAATTCTATTTACACTGATATAATTATATAACCCAGACAACTATACTGATGGCAGTCCATTATTCATCTGGCAAATTGTTTCATGTTACACGTGACTAATTTGATCATGATTTGTAATTTATGTGGGATTCTCCTCCCTTCCCCACTGCGATAACCTAACATAACCCATTTGAATTGAATCCCTGTGTGAACACCAGATCAAGTTCATAGACTATCCTCACACTTGTCAGAAGAGAAATATTTACCTGAAGGCCTTTTAAGGCATTTGAAGAATGGGAATCAATGCTTTCTCTTCTGGGCAAAACTGGTAAAAATTCGAGTAACTCTTTTATTACATGTAACAAAAGCTCTTGAACAGAGCTATTGTTAGACTCTATGGATAATTATCAAGGGAAATGCTAAGCTTCCTTCATTAAACACTTGTAGAAGTTATCTTGGTGAGACAGAATTCTTGAAATAAAAAGCATTACTTTGATGAAATTCTGTGTTTCCCTTCGATACCATAATACTATGCCATATTAATATTTTTAAGATTAAAAATCTTAAATCTTGGTGTAACATTTACCATGAGAACTATAACTTACAAAAACTTGTTGTTCTCAAATATAAAGAGTAATGGAATCTGTAATCTATATATACCCTCCCTGCTACAGTTAATGATGGCTCCATTACTTGAAGTGCTCAATAAACCAACTGTTTCATTATGCTGATGACGTGATCAACAAAACTGCTAACTTCACCAAATGTAAGGTTTATACATAAATGGAGACAGGCTGTGGATTCTAGTTGTTTTAGCTTCTTCACATCAATTAAGAAAAATCTTCACAGCCCCATGCACTTCTGGAGGAAGTGTGTGTGTGTGTGTGTGTGTGTGTGTGTGTGTGTGTGTGGTGCAGGAGAGCGACAGTCACTATATTCCACAAGCCATTTATGCTGTACCGAAAATAAGAGGTCAGTTTTTGTATAAAAAATACCAGTTTTACCTTTAATTGTTTTCTTGGAGAACATACCTGCCTTAGTTTTGTCTTTAATTTTTTATTTCTTTTCAGACAGTTCATCTCACTTTACAATTGTGTGGCAGCTTTGAAAATTTGTAGGTGGTTGTTAAAAATTTTACATTTCATTTCAGTTCCAAACCTCAAATAATACATAATTTTTTGTGGGTTATTATTATTCTGTAATTTAGCATTTTCTAAGGATTTGATGCTTTACAACTGTATGGGTACTTAACATCATGATAAAAAGTTTTCAGTAAGTTACATAAGAATATGAATAGTATTAACACAACCTTCTGCCCTCTGAGCCAGTGTTGATTTTATGAAGTCTTTTTGTGTTCATAAGTACAATACTATTGTACCTATTGAAGATTCACTTGACTTTTTTCCATATTCTCTTTAGCAAAAATTGAAACATTGTTCATGGAGGGTATATAACTTCAGACTTAATATGATACTGCCCACATAGAAAGTTTCTTTTTAAAGTGCAATATTATATTACAACAATCAGTGACTAATAAATATAAATAATTCATGTGGATGCATATACATGCACACATTTGATAAATTTATAAAATGATATGAAAAATATGGAAATTCTTTGTGCCAATCTGATGAGTGACATACAGAAGAAAAAATAACTTAAGATTAATAGTATCTTTCCTAACACAATGAAAATTCAAAAAGTTACCCAAATCCAGATGAAGTATTTAGAAGGTTAGAAAGAAAAAGCAGTCATTTGCTTTCTTATATTTGTACTCTATCCAGTTCAAGACTGGAAGCAAAAATTATAAACTACGGAGGAATTGCTATGTTGGGCCATGGAGTCTAGCCCCAAATTATAGACTACCTATATCCCGAGGATCATCCCCTATTTACCAACTAAATTACTTCCAGAAGCCAAATTGTTCTTCAGTAGTAAATTGGGCATTTAGGAAGTCTTGCACATTGTTTAAAATCCCTGAAAGAATCCCACACCCTGTGCAGGGCTGTGCTCTCGCATGGCAGATATTCGACACGAACCCCTGAAAGTCCCCCTCTGCTCTGCTCAGCGTGTGCTCTCGGTCCTCCCCTGACATCCAAGATGGATCCCCCAAACTTGAAGAGCTGTGAGGATGTCATGCCTCATGGATAGGGTACACCCAATTAATGTGGTCTCTCCAGTTTTCAGTCCTGCAATTCTGGGAGAATCTTATTAATCTTAGGATATAGCCTTGACACTGCTTTGTGCCAGACCGAGGCGTAGTAACCTGATGAGACCGTCTCCTGATGAGCTTTTCCAAACCCTGATCATAAACCAGTTATGCAGCCTGGGCGTCTAAAAATAAAGAATATGCTTCCTTCTAAAGAGGAAATATCCTTTCTGTGCTGCAAAATTTTCATCAATGTACACTTTTAGATGACTGCAGGATGCCATCTATTTGGACTAGAATAAGAAATGTTCATTTAACCCCTGCCTCCGGATGTTTACATATTGGTTGTCATGTAAACTTCCCTAAAAGTGATGTTTTTATAAGGAAGATAGGTTTTGGGTAGCACCTTCCTTTTTCTACATTACTTTTCTCTATACATTAACATTTCATGGCTGTAAGGAGAGCTCCACAAAGACTTTGTGGTGTCACATGATAGCATATTTTAGCGTTCAAATACTGTGTTTTATGCTGATTGAAAAATGACAATCTAACTTATGGCCTCTGCTTTTCCTCTTGTTTCCTTCTATCTTCCACTCTCCCCCGACCTGAGACCTGTCCAGAGTAAATTAACATTAACGATTTTATTTGGTTCCAAGAATGCCTTTCTTCCCCTCTCCATCCACCTCTCTCTCTCTTTCTCTCTTTCTCTTTCTTTCTTTCTCTTTCTCTTTCTCTTTCTCTCTCTCTCTCTCTCTCTCTCTCTCCCTCTCCCTCTCCCTCTCCCCTTTTTCTTTATTTTAATGTTCACAGGAGTGGGAAACAAATGCTCTAATCTGTATATACAATTCAAATGATCAAATGTGCTTGGGAACTAAGCTGGACTTCTATGGGTTAAACAAAGTTCAGTTTGAGCACTTAAAGTGTGTGAAAATGAGGAGTACTAACTAATTCTCTTCAGATGTCTGTGCGTGGAAAACCAATACAAGCCGATTTGCTGGGCTTTTGTTTGTTTTTTTTTTTTTTTCTTGCACATCACGGTGGTGTTTTCTTTTCTTTCTTTTTTTTTTTTTTAATTTTTTTTTCAACGTTTATTTATTTTTGGGACAGAGAGAGACAGAGCATGAACGGGGGAGGGGCAGAGAGAGAGGGAGACACAGAATCGGAAACAGGCTCCAGGCTCTGAGCCATCAGCCCAGAACCCGACGCGGGGCTCGAACTCACGCACCGCGAGATCGTGACCTGGCTGAAGTCGGACGCTTAACCGACTGCACCACCCAGGCGCCCCATACGGTGGTGTTTTCAATAGCTCTTTTGCACCAATCAGTAACAGGCCACAATGGTGACATAAGCCTTTTGTTTGCCTCATCTAACTCTGCCCCATTTGCCCTCCTCAGATCCTGCCAACATGAGGAACAAACACAGCCAACACTGGCTGGCTCACAACGTGCCCAGTAGTTCCTGTAACAGAGGGAGGCATTCCAGTGCCCTGTCTGATCCTTCTGACCTCTGACTTCTCTGGATCCACTCTAGCTAATCTTCTTGAGATAAAAAGGCAGTTCTTACTAGGTTCTTACCCTCAGTGCCTGCAAAGCTAAGAGAAGAGCGAGAGGATGGTGTTTTGTCTGCCTCCTGAGTACTAAGGTCTTGGAGTAAGGTCGCAAATTACCAACAGCCTGACTTCCACACCTCGTTTTACCCTTCTCAACAAAATGCGCTCTGGGGCTTAATTGCTGGGCCCTCCTGGCAGCCAGCTCTTTCTTGCACACTGTTGAGCAAGGGTCATGAAGGGTGAGTGGATCATAGGGAAACCTTGTATGTGTATTCTATATGCCTCAGATCACTAAAGGGAGCTATGCAAACATATCAATTTGAGTATCTATCCCTGGGGCTATATTTATGTTCTGGTAAGAGCAGGGATCCAAAACCTAAGACTGCTAAACACACCTGACTGACCGAAAAAAAAATTGACCTTGTTTCCATGTATGTTACTAAAAGAGTAAAACAATCATTTAAGCAACATAAAAAAGAAACTACCTGAGACAGAAAGAAATGACATTTATAAAGACAACCTGCCATTAACGTTATTTTTGCAGAATGTGTATCTTCTTATAGCTTTGTTTTGAAACTGTTTAGATGATGTCAAAGCTGCATAGTTTAAAACAGCAGTAAGATGAAAATAACAAGATAATAATAGTAAAATAATAAAAAGATTTCTTAATGGCCACTTTTTTCCTTAAAAAAATTTTTTAACGTTTATTTTAAGAGACAGAGAGCATGAGTGGGGGAGGAACAGAGAGAGAGGGAGACACAGAATCCGAAGCAGGCTCCAGGCTCAGAGGTGTCAGCACAAAGCCCGAAGTGGGGCTCAAACTCACAGACTATGAGATCATGACCTGAGCCGAAGTCAGACACAACTGACTGAGCCACCCAGGTGCCCCTTAATGGCCATTTTTCAAAAAGTCTAATAATAATCTGATACTTCAATAAGATCCCAAGACTTTAATATGTCCCTCACATTTTACATGTGTTATTTTAAGTAATTATTATATAATCTTGCTGAGGAATTCTTGTTGCTTTCCATTT